TTCTTTCTTCTCCTCTAACCACCCTCCTTTTCTATTTGTACTTAACTTCTGCTCTCTTCCCCACATTGTCTCATTTGGGAGCTTATACATGCTCAAGTGCTCTTGGTGGTAGTGGTTTCCAATATCTTCAGCCTAGCAATACTTCCACGTTGGTACTGTGCTGCGCCAACCCTTCAGTTCTCTTTGAGGCTACATCATGAACTTAAGAGAAATATTTGCATGAATTGTTTATTTCCCCAATGCTGGGTTTTAAACTGTTGAAGTGAAAAAGGATCCTCACTGAGCATGGCTAACTGGAAATCAGAAAACAGGTGACGCAAGTATCAAATGCTATTAATCAAATGTTGATAAAAAGGTTAATAGAGGTACTACAGAAAAGTGAAGGAGGAAGACTAATCTAACAAAAGGGTAAAGGAAAGCATAATGCCTGTCCCAAGTGTATTGGGAAATAAGTAAATTCACACACTTGTGGCAAGTGATGGGAGATGGGGGCAAAGAATAAATGCTGAAGAATGGAAAAAGTTAAGAGGTTACCTTCAATTGCATAATATAAGAATAGGCTTTGGAGTCAAATACATGGGTTTTAATTCTTACCTGTAGCCAAGTGACCTTCAGCAATTGAGAGTATGAGCTGAGCACCAGTATTTCCATCTATTTCATAATTACAGGATTAAATGATAATAAATACACTGCTTAGAACACAAAATAGCATTCAATAATTGGAAGCTTTTACAATTAAGAATAGAAGGGTCCAAAACACAATGCTGGCCTACCAGTGTTGGCAGATTTCAGAGATGAGCGAACAACTGTAAACCAAAGAAAGAAGAGCGGTCTCTCACAAGCTAGAGAGTCACAAGATTCACTCAAGGCCACAAAAAATGAAATTTTTACTAGACATTAAAGTTTAAAACCACACTGTTTCATGGTAATGTTAATTTTACCACTAGGTGGCAATGATACAGCTGAATTTCACTGACAAGATCATTTTTAAAACAGTAAGCAACAGATAGAAATTCCAAGAAGCTTTTTAGAACAGATTTTCATTTTTAAAAAGTCTTTTATATAGAATTTAATTTACAGCAAGATATAGAATTATCTGATACAACACGTATGTTAACTTCTGATATTTTTTCCCTCTGTGCACTGAGGAAATTCATGCAATAAACACAATTTTTAAACATTTTAATCACAAGCAAGCATTTTGAAAAATATAGACATATATATTGAGAAAGATAACAGAAATCATGAAAAGCTAAAAGTCTTTTAAAAGTTTCATAATTCTAAGAAAGGCACTATAAAATGTTAAGTATTTCAATGAAAAAGTTAAATCTTTAAAAAATGACTAAGAGAACAATTCTAATTTTTTTTTTTATTTTTGGCCAAAACATGAAATAATATCAAAACATTTTGCTTTTCAATTACAAATTACAGTAATATTAATATATGCAAAGTCTTTTCAATATAATCTGATAAACATATTGAGTTTATTAAGAAAATTTACCAAAATTCTGACTTAAATTTAGGAGAAATAATGAATCCCTTTTTACAAGTGTCAAAATAACAAACAATAAATTCCTTAGTGTCTGGCATTTTTCATAATTATTTCTGCTTTCTTCATAAAACAGGATACAAACATGACTTATTTAAAATAATAAAAACTTTATTCTTTTCATTTCTTCTATATTTTATATCAAATAAAAGGACCAGGTACGACAAAAATTTTCAAAATTATAGATAACATTTCTAAGTATCCAGTACAAAACAACAAATAAAACCAAATTTATAAACTTTCAAATTCCCAAGATATTCTCTGAAATATAAGGCAGGAGCTCATATCATCAAAGGTAACATTACAAAACCTGTGCTATGATTAGATGAATAAATAATAAACCTATACTGTTACCCAATTCATAATATAATAAAAAGGCCAAATTAAAACAAGCCTCTTTGTTCCCTTTGTGTAAATAACCTAAAGTTCCCAAAATTTTTAATTCCATTTCCTACAAATAAATTGATGAGAATACCTTTTATATACCAGGTTTCCAAAAGTTTTGCACTCATTTAGCAACCACCTCCTCTATTATATTTACTTCATTTCCAGAACAATTTTTCCCTCTTGACACCCACACATACATAAGAGTACAGAAGTATTATTTGTAAGTTATTTTTATAATTCATAGATCGTTTCCCCATCATTATTGGACTTCATTTTTGAATTATTATAGATAATCCTGAAATCTAACAATATAAATCTTTCTCATCCTGTCAAGCCTATATAGATATACAAAACAGACAACCATTTAAGATGGTTAGCACAAAAAAAGATTACTGTGGCAGCCCTCACAAATTAAGCAAACAATTTCAGAAACGTCCTCAATCTGTTCACTCAACTTTTGCTAGAAAATTTACGTAATGCCACTGTCACTGAAGGGCTAATTGTAGATTTACAAAAGTAAATACATGTGTACATATAATTTACATCTATACAGAATCAGCTTCTGATTATCTGCACAAATAAAAGGACAAGTGACACACATGATGAAAACACATAATCCTCAAATACATTTTTATATCTGCATTTCACAGGACTGTGTCTAAATCAGAACAAAAAGAAATTAAAACATATTGCAAAGAGGTTAAGTGTCACAAACAATTATCAAAACAATGATAAAACTGAAATTCCATTAGTGACTTGAGTCTGTCATCTTCTGTTTATTTCTGATGGTGGCTCGAAGTTTACGTATAACCAGTCTATCAGGTAAAATCATATCACCTTGTTGTTCTAGATATTCCAATAAATTTTCAGTCCACTGGAGAGCAGTTACATGATTAATATGTTTCTCTGGAATCAGTTCTATTTCTTCCTCCTCATTTTCACTGGATTCATCTGTCTGGCCTTGGGCTCGTCTGATGATTTCACTGTCAGTTAATACTTCATAGCCTGGTTCAGTACTGTCTACTTGAAGCCATTTTTCAATGTTCTCCATAGTCACATTTTCCAATCCTTTGGTGTGTTGTAAAATGGTGGCCACAGTAGCCACAGAAATATCTTCTTCATCAAAATCCAAGCCTTCTTTCTCCTCTATGGAAGGGAGAATCTTCTTCCATGCTCTGCTAATGGTAATTGGTTTTACTAAGTTCCATGCCATTGCTATTTCATAAAGTGCATCCAGCAGAGTTAGCTTCTTCCAGAATGATTTCAGGTCATTACCTTCTTCCAAGTTATTCTGGAGAAGACCTGCACGGTAGTTTCTTTTCATTGTTGCTATGACTCCCTGATCCGAGGGCTGAATCAATGAAGCCACATTAGGTGGTAAATATTTAGCAAATATTTGGCCATCATCTGACCTCAGGACGTTTTCATTTGGATGTGTTGGTGAATTATCCAACAAGAGCACAGCCTTTTCTTGCAAGCCTTTGGATCTTAAATACTCTCGAACTTGTGGCACAAAAATCTTATCAAACCATTGTCGGAAAATGGAAAGATCCATCCATGCTCCTTTTTGGCTGAAATAAGAGACTGGCAGATTTAAGGTGTCAGTTGACTTGAAGGAGCTAGGTTTCTTCGCTTTCCCCACAACACAAAGTTTAAGTTTGTGTAAACCTGTGGCATTGGCACAACACATGATAGTTACTCTTTCTTCAATTGACTTGTGCCCAGGGACAGTGCATTTACCTTTGATTACTGAAGTCCTGGAAGGTAGGCATTTCCAAAAGAGTCCAGTTTCATCTGCATTGTAGATTTGTTCAGGCTGCAAGTTCTCTTGCTCAATAAAATCTCGAAAGTTGTTACAAAAATCTTCTACAGCAGTCTCATCTCCATTTAATCTTTCATTTCTAATGTTAATCTCTCTAATGCTGTGCCTCTGCTTAAATCGTGTTAACCAACCAGCAGAGGGATTAAAATCACCATCCATTCCCAAAGCATAAAAGAAGAATTCCGCCCTTTTTGCACAAATTGGTCCAGATATGGGATTCCCTTTTGCTCTTTGCTGGTTGAACCATTCCAGCATTGCTCTGTCCAGTTCCTCATACATGGACGGCTTCATAGATTTCCTCTTGGCCAGAAGACTTGTGGAATCAGAACTGCTTGCATAAGTTATAATCTTTTCCTTATTTTTTCTTATATCCCGAACTGTTGTTTCACCAATTCCATAAATTACTGCCAGCTGTTTGGAAGAACCTCCGTCTTCAAGTTTCTTGATTATATCAAGCTTATCTTTAATAGTCAACACCACACGCTTCCGTTTCCCTGACATGCTTAAGCTTGGGGACTCTCCCCACACTCACACTGTAGCAATCCACAAAATCCTGCCTTCTTTTACACAGACTCACTTTAACACAGTCAGTCTTTCAACCTTACCAGCAACCTGATGGCCCTGACCCCCTTCCCGGCTGGGCTTGGCTGGCAAAGGGACGGCAGAGGAAGGTGAAAGAGGAGGAAGTTTGAGGGAACAGGCCTTTAACTTAGACCGACAGTGCTGGAGGCCCCAAGTCACCGCGGATAATCCGGATTATACACATGTCTTTTATTACCCCAGTGGCCACAAACCTCCTTCACGCACAGATCCTGAGTAAATGCTCGTCACTAACCCTGCCACACCCCGAAGTTGCGGAGAACGGAAGAGCCAGGGAGTCGGGGACTGGTCCCCTTCACCGGGGGAACAGTTACGTTTGATTCTTTCCCCAGAAGCCCGGCCCTACCGCTGCGCAGCCCCACTTCCCCGCGCCGGGCTTAGCTCTGACAGTCTCCCCGGTCCCTCACAGCCCGCCGGGCCCTTCTCCCCACCTCAGTTGCAACGGGACCCCGCACCGCTCCCTGACTACCGCGCGGCAGCCTCTCCTCCCCCAGCGCACACTCCCGGAAGACACCCCCTCCCGCCGCCAGGCCACGCCCCGCCCCTTGCCCCCGCCCAGAGGCGGGACTTCCCCTGCTTCCCGGAAGGAGGAGGAGCGTCGCTTTTCTGGAGCGGGTGCCCGGGGTGGAGGCGGAGACGGAGGCAGAGGCAGAGGCGGAGGCGCTGTGAAAGGTGAGAGTGAGAGGCGGCGCGGCCTAGCCCCCAGCGGGGACTAGCTCTCGCTCTCGCTGCTTATGGTTTAGTACAGGGGCGGGGGAAGTCACTCCTCCTGGTTGGCCAAGAGAAAAATTCCCGCGGGCGCTCTCGGGATGGATAGGACGGCGCCCTTCAGCCCTTTCCTCCACTTACCCTCCTCCTCAGCCGAGCTGCAGTAGGTGCAGTGCCCGTTATTTCCGCCCTGGGGAGGTGCTCGGAACTGAAGCGGGGAGCTCGATTGATGATTTCTCGGGTTTCTGGCCTTTCCAGACCTTGTTTGTTTTCTGGATGCTGAGCCCCTTTGGGATCCGGGGGTTTCTGTCGTCCCACGCACGTCATCGCGAAGCTCCGTCTGAGGGTCCCGTTTCCTAGCCACGGTGCCCGTCCCTCCTGGAGGCAGAGTGACGGGCGAGTGGGCGGTCTGGCTGCTGGGTGCCCGCGTTCCGCCAAAGAACCAGGTTTGTAATCATGAGAATGCCACTGGTGTTAACTCCCGAGAGGAGCTGTTCCTCCGTCTGCCACTCACCCTGTTGGATTTAGCGTACCACCTTCAGTATTACAGATTTTAATGGATTATATAGTTATCCCGGATACCAAACTGGCAGGATCCACTCTGCGAATTGTGGATTATTGGACCATGATTCTAAGTGGGGGGAGTTGGCTTTCCTCTCTCCGTTTCTTGTTTTCCGATTATTTCTGTCGTGTTGTACTGTACTCTTTTCCAGCCAGTGGAAGGACAATGATGCATTTATTCACAGCATGTGATAAGAACTTACTCAGAATCATAGACTGCATTCCTCAAATCATGTATTATGCTGGCTTTTTTTTTGGTGTCCCTAGTAATTTCATCAGATTGTGAGCTCCTTGGGAGCAGATATTGTGTTTATTTCGTCTAGTAGCACCACAGCTCCAAGCATGTGCTGGCATTTTGGTAGGCATTCAATAATTATTTCTTGGGTTTATTGATGTTTCCTCTCCAAACTGCCATATAAAAGAAGACATCAAGGAGGGGTGATGTTTTTCAAATAAGAATGCATCCCTTCTGGTGGAATTTCAAATAATGGCCTGGGGATCCATTGCCCTTCAAATCTTAAAAGTATAAATTACCACAGCAAATAGGTGATTTCTAGAATGAATCTTTTAAGTATGAATTAACCAAGAAATCCAAGTGGCATGACCAAGGGACTTTCTTTTAGGTGTGGAATTACTCAGTTAGAGAAAGAACACAAGCAGTATGGATTATTTCCCGTAATTTATATTCTTTGGCAGACAGCATAGCTATGTATGTGCATCTTATACGATATTAACCACAAAGCACAAAGATGTGATAGTATTGATGTTCTTCACTTATTTATGCTTTCTGTTTGGAGTCTCTTTGTTTTCTCTTTGCCTAAAGGTAAGATATTATAGAAGCTTGATAAAATTCTCATTTCAAGAAATCGAATGTATATTCAGCATATACAGAAATTACATCCATTTGCATAGATTCTTTTTTGAGTGAATTCTAAGACCAAGAGATGTCTTACCCATCAGCCCAGCTTTACCTTCTCATTTCTTTCTCCACGTTCACTCACCTTTTCCCTCTGTCATCATTCTTCCCTTTCCAGCTAATATAGTAAAGAGATCCACAATTTTAAAAGAGGAGCCAAACATATTCAAATTGTCTTTTTCAATAACAGAATTTTTTACCTTATTGATATAAATGACAATTTTGAAACATGAGAGAGACCCTGGCAATTTGGCAGTTGGCCAAATGAAACCTTATTGGGTTTTTTTGAAATAAAATATGCCTCCTCAAGCGTTCACATTCTGCAGTTTTCCAAAATAAATATTCTTCTCATCAGAGACTTCCTTTCTTAGAAATTTTTACTTTTGGGATCATTAGGAACTCCTTAAGTTTTATGATCAGTGTCATCAATAAAATGGTAGAGGAAAGTCTCTAATTTTCATCTCTTGCACATTCTTTTATTGCCTAGTGGATAAATGATTTTCAGAACTTTCTGGCCTAAGTTGTATGCACTAAAATTCAGTTACATGATAAAAAAGCATGTATGTAAACTCTAATTTAAACCATTTTGATTGTTATTTTCTGAAACTAAAATTTAGCATGAATGAGAGAGAAGAATGCACTAAAATTCAGTTACATGATAAAAAAGCATGTATGTAAACTCCAATTTAAACCATTTTGATTGTTATTTTCTGAAACTAAAATTTAGCATGAATGAGAGAGAAGATAATGACAACTTTTTAAAGGTTTAATTTTTACTACCTTGTACAAATATGACATTGACAGCAGTCATTGTGTAGCACTGGATGGGGAATCAGGAGACCTGGTTTCCTATCCCTGCTCTGTCACTAACAAGCTGTGTGATCTTCGGTAAGTCATTTAAACTCTATGTCCTTGGCTTTGATATTTGTAAATGAAGATAAATAATATCTTCCTCCTAGGATCATTGTCAGGATTTTAAAATAAATATGCAAATGCACTGAAATAATATAAATATAGGTGTTTTATAGCTTAACTGTGTGGAGTCATAGGTCTTTTTAATAGTGTGACATTCTCAGTCTTTTCTACCATTGCCATAGGAATCACCTGTTTCTATATTACTGTCTTTCCAGCATGTTATAGTTTTGTAAGATAATCATCTAGTTTATATGAGTCTGCTTTATTATTAATAAAGAATCATCTTTCACTTTAATGTTTCTTACTGTCCATGTTTGCTTTAGTGTACCTTCCTGAACCATATTTGTCATTTGTTTTCAAAAATGTTTTTTCACTTCTTCCAATTCAAACAAGTTTACTAGAAAGCCTTACTTTCTTATTACAGTGTAATGCACATACACATATATACTATTGGCTTATGCAAATTTAACTATATGTGCTTTAAAATACTTCTTTGTACTATACGGCTTCAAAATATAAGCTGCCTAGTTAATTTGTTGCTTAAGCAAACAATAATCTGTTTATAACCTGGAGGAGAAACTGGGTGGACATATCATACAGCAATACTGTATACACAAAACCATACTTAGAACAGTAATATAGGGATTTTTTAAAAGGGTAATTTTGACCACACACAGTCTTCATCTTTGCTGATTTTAATATCAGCCTTCTGTAAAATGTAACCCAAGTATAATTTCAAGTAGCAGACTGTTTGGTATATTGGCTAGGATTTGTTAGATTGCTATTACGATGCTGATTATATCTTGTAGCAGTTACTATCATAAGGTTGTATTTCAGCCTATACTATAAAGATAATTTCTGTTGTATAATCATAGGAACCCCTGTTGTTCTGATTTTATATGAGGCATTACCGTTATAGAGGTAGTTGCATTGCCTTGTAAATATACCAGAATTTGTATAATCAAATGAGTGGTATCCTCTCCACCCCCCATACCCTAAGAAAAAAAGTAATCATCTTGGAAAGCTATAAACTTGGTCAAGTAATTATGTCATTGCTTGAAAACTTTGTTGGCATTGCCTTTTTGGAATTACCTTCAGAGCTTACAGCACACTTTTTGAGTATGTTTAATGATAATTAATCTTTACCTTGCAGATTTGGATTTCATTTCTGGAAGCTACTAGCAGTCCTTTATAACTGAGACAAGTGAATCATGATGTGGGTGTTGCAGCCACTCTTTGGGATAAAAAAATGAAATGTGATTGTTTTAATATTTTTAGATTTTTGTTTTTGCTTTTTTGATACTATGATTTATAGAAAAGCCCCTGGAATATTCTGTGCTATGGTAGAAATATTGGAATAATCAGCTTTATGAGATGATGTCTTTGAAGGGGATAGCACTCAATTGAATATTTAAGCTCTTATACATGTGTTATGAGGTCAGGCTCATTATATGTGATCATATTTCTATTCCTTAGCAACCACATAAGTACATATGTATTACTGTTTTTCTAGTTGTCTTACCTGTCAATAATTGTTCATTTAATATATGCTTGTGATAATTTTATTGGAATTCACCCTTTTCTTAATCAGAAACTGGCAGGTTTTGTTTTCCTTCCCAATACCATGCTCTGCTTCTCTATGAAACTTTTTAGTTTTTTTTACCTGACTACATTATTGAATTTTTAGTAAGTTTTCTATTAGATTACATTGTATCTTTAATTTTGGGTGGTTTAAGCCATCACCATTTTACTAAGGTATATAGAGGCTACAAACTTATTAGATAGGTTATCTCTCAATTTTTCACTACTATCTTATTTATGTCAATTACTATTTTATAACCTTATTCATGTCAATTGGTTGATTCTTTATATTATAATTCATGTCATTTCTCTGGTCAGAATTCTTTGCCTACGGAATGATTCATTCTGGTAATCCCATCCTACTTTTCCATCCTTTTCTCCTTTTTTTAGCATAAAGCTTTTTTTTTTTCCGCACACCTTTTTAGTCACATTTATTTACTGAGCGTAACCATACTTTGGTTCTTTCTCAGTGCCAAAGTTTTGCCCTTACCATTTGTACCTACTTGAAATCCCTTGTTCTTTCATTCTTTCTGTTCAAATATAACCAGTCCTTCAGAACTATATCAGATCACTTCTGTTGAAGACAATCTTCAGTGAAACATTTGCCCTACTGATCTTCCTGCATCTTTACACTTCTATTACAGTTATTTTTATTAGTCATTTGATACTAAACAAATGCTACCTTGGATTTTTCTTATATGTTTGTATGTTTTAGTTCTACATATAGATAATAATCTTCTGAAGGACAGGGCCATGATTTTTATTTCTGTGTGTCCCTTTCAGCCCAACATATAGCATAATTCAGAATAGATGTTCACTTAATTATTTCACAGATGTTCAATAAATTATTAGTTGAATGACTGTTCTGTCATCTTCACTCAGATATTTCATGTGATTTTGCCATTACAGACCATTTAGTAAAGCCAAATAAATATAGTTTATACAATATATGCATTCATTGCTGTGATTTGATTATCATTGTTATATTCCTAATAACTTTATTTTGTAGAAGCTTGAGTGAAAATGGTACATGTTAGAAGACATGGAACAAGGAACAATTCTAAAACTCAAGTGCCTGAGCAGAAATCTCGAGTTGATTGGAGGCGGACTAAAAGAAATAGTATCTCACAATTATTTGATAGTGATGAAGAGCTTGATAGTGATGAAGAGCTTGATAATGATGAAAGTGTTGATAATGAAAGTGTTGGTAGTAATGAAGAGCTTGATAGTAACAAGGGTCTTGAGAGTAATAAAATACCAGAAAATGAAAGAGACCTTAAATTAATTAAAGTTGAAAGTGAAAGAAATAACGGTAAGCATCTCATTAGCATTGGCAACAGTTCAACATATGAAGAAGAATTGAACAAAAACAAACATAGCAGTATTGACTTAACAGACCATGAAAAGCATCCAAGTCAAGAGGAGGATGATCTCAACAAACACACTGGACAAGTAATAGAGGAGGATTTAGAAGAAGAACACATCAAGCGAGGGAAAAGAAAAAGGATATCCTCTGTGATGTATGACAGTGATGAGAGTGATGACAGTGATATACTAGTTAGAAAAGTAGGTGTTAAACATCCGCGTAGAGTAGTTGAGGATGAATGTTCTTCAGTGGAAATGGAGCAAGAAAACCCTGAAAAAACATTAGCTGCACGAAAGCAAGAACAACTCCAGAAACTGAAAGAACTCTCAAAACAAAGATCTCGTCAGAGAAGCAATAGTGGTAGAGATTTTGAGGTGTGTTATATTTTGTTGGTTTTGTTATTGTTTTAAAATTTTTACTTGAAGTATCTAATTTTTATTAAAATGCTGAGTCTCCTATTTCTTAGTAATTTGAGTATCCTTGAACATGTTTGATTGCACTTTTGTATCTAATATATTGTTTCATCATGAGGCTCAGTCCATCACTTTTTAAAATTGAAAGTCTATTTGTTGTTGCTTTTTATGGTCTTTCCTGTTTTTAACTTATTAATGGCCATTTTAAACAGTTTATATTACTTAACCAGGATATATTCTTCCTAATTTCAAAAGGTCAGCATTTAACATTGCAACATTATTTTTAACCTTAATAGGTGAAGTTAATTTCTATGTATCATTTGTTTTGCTCTCAGATTTAATCTTTTAATTTCCTATCCATCCTGATTATTTTAAAGGCAAAGCTTACTGAAGCATTATTTTAATTTAATTAGGATTCTGAAAAGGAATCCTGCCCAAGCAGTGATGAAGATGATGAGGAAGAGGAGGATGAGGAGAATGATTATGGTTATGATGAAGATGGAGGTGATTATATTATTGATGATTTTGTAGTGCAAGATGAGGAGGGTGATGAAGAGAATAAAAACCAGCGAGAAGAAAAATTGACTACATCACAACTGAAATTAGTAAAACAGAATTCTCTTTGTAAGTTAACTATCAAGAAAATGTTTTATGACTTGTTATAATCATGTTATTATATCAACTATCAAATCAGCCTCTTAATATCACATTCTAAATCATTGGTTAGGAGTTATGGTTTCATTTTCAGAAAACTTTAATTTGTCGGTCTAACACTGTGAGTTACTCTTCTTGAAGTGACAGACTCACTTTGTTCCTTTTTGGGACAATGTATGACAGGTTCCCAGGTCTGAAAAAACGTACTTTGTCAGTTGTTCTTTCTAGTAAAAATGGTGTTTCATGACAAATGAGGCTTTGCACAAACTCAATTTGTTACACAAGTGTTTTTCCTCAAAACAATCATTGTACTTACTAGTATGTGGTGTAAGTGCTTCATGCATACTTCCCATTTTATCCTATAGAGAACTAAAAGGATGAGTACTTAAAATTCAAGATATAATAAAATCAGTAATTTTTACTACTTCATCAAGGACATTCTTAAGTGCAAGTGGCTTTTGTACTGTGAGTGCCATGCATACTTCCCATTTTATCCTATAGAGAACTAAAAGGATGAGTACTTAAAATTCAAGATATAATAAAATTAGTAATTTTTACTACTTCATCAAGGACATTCTTAAGTGCAAGTGGCTTTTGTACTGTGAGTGCATAGTAGTGATGACTACAATAATTACTAGTAGTTGGGTGCTACTTCCCATGATTTTTGTCAAGGGGCCATCTGCCCTTACCCATCATTGCTTTTGCACTATCAGTGAAAATGTCAACACAGTGAAAACAGCAAGTAAATTATATCTTAGTGTTGTTATTGCTTTGACCTCACAGATCTCCTTAAATGGGCTTGTGGATTCCCAGAGGTCTGCAGAGCACACTTTGAAAACCACTGGTTTTATCTGACCTTTTAAAGGTTCACTTAAACAGTAAAACCCATCAGAGATAAGAGATTAGGATCTTTTATGTTTTCATATAATTAACGGAAAAATAAATAATAGGACCTAAAAATTTAGGATATATATTATCCTAAATATACATATTTGAATATGTATTATTATTTTGATTCCTATAATTGTACATAAGTTCAAAGATTATTTTACTACTCTGATAGAAACAGGCTGCTGAGTGGATAAATTTTTAATTTTTTTCTTCAAGAGTACATTCCTTTCAAATATTATTTTATTTTATTTTTTTCATAATTGTATGAACGTCTTTATTTTTTATTTTATTACATTTTTTTAATTTAATTTAATTTTATCAATATACAATCTGGTTGATTATTGTGGCCCATTACCGGAACCTCCCTCAGCCCTCTGTCTCTCTCCTCCCTCCCAGCTACCTCATATCTGTTTACTTGTCATAACAACTTCAAGGAATCGTGATTGTTGTGTCTTCTCTCCTCCCCCACCCAGTTTATTTGTGTATTTATTTATTTATTTTTAGCACCTACAAATAAGTGAGACCATGTGGTATTTCTCTTTCTGTGCCTGACTGGTTTCACTTAATATAATTTTCTCTAGGTCCATCCATGTTGTTGCAAATGGCAGTATTTCATTCTTTTTTATAGCAGAGTAGTATTCCATTGTGTAGATATACCACGTTTTCCATATCCACTCATCTGATGATGGACATTTGGGCTGGTTCCAAATCTTAGCTATTGTAAATAGTGCTGCAGTGAACATTGGAGAACAGGTATATCTTTGACTTGATGATTTCTATTCCTCTGGGTATATTCACAGCAGTGGGATAGCTGGGTCATACGGTAGATCTATCTGCAATTGTTTGAGGAACCTCCATACCATTTTCCATAGAGACTGCACCATTTTGTAGTCCCACCAACAGTGTATGAGAGTTCCTTTTTCTCCGCAACCTCGCCAGCATTTAACATTCACAGTCTTTTGGAAATTAGCCATTCTAACTGGTGCGAGATGGTATCTCAAAGTGGTTTTGATTTGCATTTCCTGAATGCTGAGTGATGTTGAACATTTTTTCATGTATCTGTTGGCCATTCGTATAACTTCCTTTGAGGTCCTTTGCCTTTTTAGGTCCTTTGCCCATTTTTTAATTGGGTTACTTGTTTTTTGCTGTAAAGTTGTTTGAGTTCCTTGTATGTTCTGGATATNTATCTGTTGGCCATTCGTATAACTTCCTTTGAGGTCCTTTGCCTTTTTAGGTCCTTTGCCCATTTTTTAATTGGGTTACTTGTTTTTTGCTGTAAAGTTGTTTGAGTTCCTTGTATGTTCTGGATATTAATCCTTTGTCAAATGTATATTTTGCAGATATATTCTTCCACTCTGTTGGTTGTCTTTTACCTCTGTTAATTGTTTCTTTTGATGTGCAGAAGCTTTTTTAGCTTGATATGATCCCATTTGTTTATTTTTCCTTTGGTTACCCATGCTTTTGGGGTCATATTCATGAAGTCTGTGCCCAGTCCCACTTCCTGGAGTGTTTCTCCTGTTTTCTTTAAGAAGTTTTATTGTTTCAGGGTGTATATTTAATTCTTTAATCCATTTTGAGTTGATTTTGGTATCTGGTGAGAGGTATGGGTCTAGTTTCATTCTCCTGCTTATGGATATCCAATTATCCCAGCACCATTGGCTGAAGAGGCAGTCTCTTCCCCAGTGTATACACTTGGTGCCTTTGTCAAAGATCAGATGGCTGTAGGTGTGTGGGTGGATTTCTGGATTCTCTATTCTGTTCCATTGGTCAGTGTGTCTGTTTTTATGGCACTACTAGGCTGTTTCGGTTATTATAGCTTTGTAGTATAGTTTAAAGTCAGGTAGTATTATGCCTCCAGCTTTATTTTTTTTTTTTTGCTCACTATTACTTTGGCTATGTGTGGTCTTTTGTTATTCCATATAAATGTCTGGATAGTTTTTTCCATTTCTGAGAAAAATGTCATTGGAATTTTGATGGGGATTGCATTGAATTTGTATATCACTTTGGGTAGTATGGACATTTTCACAATGTTGATTCTTTCAATTCAACAGCATGGGATATCTTTCCATCTTCTTGTGTCCTCTTTAATTTGTCTCAACAGTGGTTTGTAGTTCTCATTATAGGGATTTTTCACATCCTTAGTTACCTCTATTCCTAAGTTTTTTTTATGGAGGGTGGCTATTGTAAATGGGCAAGCTTTCTTGATTTCTCTTTCTGCATGTTCACTATTGGAGAATAGAAATGCCTCTTTTTTTTTTTGTGTGTGTGTGTGTTTTTTTTGTTTTTTTTTTTTTTTTTTTTTTTTTT